TCCCCACACTCACATCTAGTGTAGCCCAAGTCTGTGCAGAGAAGACACTTTGAAAGCCTAAGACTCTATCATAGTTCCAGCAGAATAATAGAAAAATAACAAGTGTTGACTATTCAGTTCCGATGTAGCACTGTATTGAAGAACATAACACTCTAGATCCAGATGGCCTGAATTTGAATCCCAGCTCCACCACCAACTAGCTGTGAGACCTCAGGCAATTACTTAACATTTGCATCCCTCCATTTCTCCATCTGTCAAATAGAAACAATAAAAGTACTTACCTACCTCTTAGGATTTTGTGAGGGTTAAATGAGTTAATACATACAGAACACTTAAAAGAATGTCTGGCACATGGTAGGTGCTATACAAATATTAGCTTTTAAAAACAGCTTTATTGAGATATAATTCACATACTGTAAAACCACAAAATTCACCTATTTAAAGTGTACGGTTCAGTCATTTTTAGTATTTCACAGAGTTGTATAACCATCACCATAATCTAATTTTTAGAAAATATTCATTACCCCAAAAAGGAACCTCATACCCACTGGCAGCCATTTCCGTCCCTGCAGCTCCCTCTCCCCCTTCCCAGCTCCAGGTAATCACTAACCTACTTTCTGTCTCTACAGATTTACCTCTTCTGGACATTTTGTATAAATGAACTCATACAATAGGTGGTCTTCTATGACTAGCTTCTCTCACTTAGCATAACTGTCTTTTTAAAAATTGCAACTTGCATTTTAGATTCAGGGTGTACATGTCCAGGTTTGTTACATGGGTATATTGCATGATGCTGAGATTTGGGGTGCAGTTGATCCCATCACCCAGAGAGTAAGCATCCAATAGGTAGTTTTTCAGGCCTTGCCCAGCTCCCTCCCTCCCCCGTCTAGTAGTCTCCAGTGTCTGTCGTTCCCATATTTATGTCCATGTGTACCCAATGTTTAGCTTCCACTTACAAGTGAGAACATAGCATAATGTTTTAAAGGTTCATCCATGTTGTATATGTATTAGAGCTTATTTTCTTTTTAAGGCTAAATAATAGTTCATTATATGAATATATCACTTTTTTTTTCCATTTTATCAGTTGATTGACATTTTGGATTGGTTCTATCTTTTGGCTAGTATGAATAATGCTGCTATGAATATTCATTTACAAGTTTTTGTGTAAAGGTATGTTTTTAAATCTCTTGGGTATATATCTGGGAGTGGAATTGCTGGATCATATGGTAACACTGTGTTTAATGGTTTGAGGAACCACCAAACTATTTTCCAAAGAGCCTGCACTATTTAAAATTCCCTCCAGTAGTGGGAATGAGGGTTTCAATTTTTCCACATCTTCACCAACACTTGTTGTTTTATTTTATTTTATTATTATAGCCATCCTACTGTGTGTAAAGTAGTATCTCATTGTGGTTTTGATTTGCATTTCCATGATGGCTAATGAGGTTGAGTATCTTTTCATGTGCTTATTGGCCATTCTTATGTCTACTTTGGAGAAATGTCCCTACAAATTCTTTGCCCATTTTAAAACTGGGTTGTCTTTTTATTATTGAGCTGTAACAGTTCTTATATATTCTGCATGCAAATCTCTTGTCAGATACGTTTGTGAATATTCTGTCATTCTGTGAATTGTTTTTGAATTTTCTTGAAGCTATTATTATTAAATAGACATTTATAAGTTCACATATAATAAAGAGGACAGATTGTATTGGAAAGAATGAGATCTAAAATCACCTGATGTACCCTATGGTACACTACCCTGCTCCTGCACTCCTTTGAAATTAAATTCAAAACAGATCAAGCTTCTCCTCTGTGCCAGGCACTGTGGGGGAATAAGACCTAACCTCTATTCTCAAAAAGCTTTGTAACTCAGAAGAGAAGATGCAAACATGTGGAAACTTAAATAATTAGAACATATTTAAATAGCAGTTCAGGACCACAACAGAAAAGATGCCACAGGGCACTGTATGATTAATTTCCAAATGAATTGCATGGAAAAGAATTGCTATGGGAACTCAAGGGAGGGAGAAAGCACTTGGGGCTGAGGTGGTGGGGGAAAGCTTTAAGGAGAAGGGATCTAAGCAGTCTATAATTAACTACAGCCATGCCTGTGTAATACTAAACAAAGACTTGAAGAGAAAAAAAATATTGACTGTTTTTGAGATGAGGCATATTAATGATTAAATTGATACCACCATTTCTTTTCAACCTCTCCAGAAATCCCCACAGTCCCACCTTTCCAGTGAAGACTTACATGGCCTCTGTCTAGTCCAGAGGTTACCAATTAACAAAGTTAACAAGCCACATCTGGCTTACAGACACATTTGGTTTGGCCCAATTAAAATATTAGAACTACGTGCTAAAACATTTAAGTGGACAAATTTCACATAAAATATTAATTTCCAGTTTCTCTAGAAAAATCAGAAGACCTGGCCACCCTGCATTGGAACATGCATTCTCTAGGACCATGGCCAATGGCATCCCTGCTTGCACCTGCAGAATTCAGTTTGAGACTTCCTAACTTCCTAGAATCATAGTTCTTAGACGAAAAGGTATCTTAAGAGTGCATCTGTTTCTATTCCCTGCCTTTGGGGATGTATGGTGTTATAATATTACTCTTAATTTACAACTTGATTTAGAATGTCAACTAAAACCCGCAGAGATTTTGACTTGCCGCAGGCCACAGGGCTATTAACTGGAAGAGGGAGGGCTAAAACCCATGTTCTCTACTTCTCAACGGAATGTTCTTTCAACAATCTGTCTTTACAGTCTGGATGCATATTGTTCAGTAGCATTCTTCTGGCACTTCCTAATCACTGCTTTGTGTTGTTGGACGATTTTTGATATGATCGTTATCTCTCTTCAATGACATTGTAACATCCCAAACTGCAGAGGAACCCACATCAAGTTTTTCTATGAAAGCCCGTGACATGGAGCACAATGCTTTGTACTAAATAGGCACTGAGGTGATATTTGTTATTGATTGATAGGATTGTGAAGAGCTCAGTATGTAACCATCCTTCCAAACCTAGGTGTGTTAAAATGTGTTTATTGTTCAGAGACAAAGGTCTGGTACCTTTAAGAAGTCTCAGCTTTGCAATGAGTTTGTGGGGCAGCTTCTTGGCATAGATCCTGGGGAGGGACAGGGAGGAGACCATTATGCAGGCACATGTCGCTAGGATGTACCTTACTTTGTCTTGGCTGTTTTCTGAATGGTAAGAGGAAGGATGAAATAATAGCAGGTATAGGAAAAGTGATTTAAAGCCTTGCCTTAGAAGATCAGTGGTTCTCAGGCGTGAGGGTGCATCAAAAGCCCCTGGAGGGCTTCTTAAAATACAGATTGCTATATCCCACCCCTGAGTTTCTGATTCAGTAGGTCTGAAGTGAGTGGGGTCCACAAATATGCAGTTCTAATAAGTTCTCAGGTGATGCTGATGATTCTGGTCCAGGGACCACACTTTAAGAACCATTGCTCTGCCAGGTAATTGGCTCAAGAGTAGCTAATTAGAGAAATCTGAGCACAGTTAGCAACTGGAAGCAAAAAGTCCATGAGGAAACTGTGTGATGTATGTAGTGGGGAGAGTGTGAATTGGCTAGGAAACCAGAATGGTTGGATTCCAGTACCAGGGGTATCATATCTTTTTAAGCAGTGTCCAAAGAATAAGTACTTTTTAATTCACATATTCCTGATTCATTTTACTAGTGTTTCCCAAAATGTGCACTGTGGAACCCTAGAAGATATTAATAGGTATGCAATGAGATTAAAAAGGATCCATAGTCAAAGAAGTTGGAACATTTTGAGTTAAAGAAAATTGAACAGGGTTCTTTATGGCTTCTAAGAGCCTTTAAAATGTGAATGAATGCACTGCAAATCTCCAAGGAAATACAGAATATGCAGTATTTATTTTATTAATTTATGCAGAATATTCAGACTTAGTTGACAAAAGATCCTTTGTTAACTGTTTTTCTGTAAAATGTTGTTTAGGAAACCCTCACTAGTTTACACCTGAAATGCCACAATATTTTATCAATAGATGAGGTTGCTTGCAACAGTGGAAACAGCACTGGACTGAGAGTCAAAACATCTGGGATTTTGTTCTGTCTCTGCCACTTAGGTCTGCCACAAGTTGGCTTGCTACCATGAAAAAGATGGGTATGACTGAAATTTATCATCCCTTTGCAAATGGTAGCAGCCAGTAGCTCCAGCCAAAATAAGTAAATAAAATCTCACACAGTCAATTTTTTAAAATCTAGTTTACCATACCCTTAAGGTTATTCAATCTCTTTTTGTTTTTTTTTCTCATGTTACCTTGTGTAACAGGTATTCAATCTTCAAAGCCAGAAACATGAGAAGCCTTATGCTGAGAGTTTGGTAGAAAGGAAGGGAGAAAGGGAGAAAGTAGAAAGGGAGAAAAGGAGGAAGGGAGGAAGGGAGGAAAGGAGGAAGGGAGGGAGGGAGGAGAGGAGGAACAGCAGAAAGAAGGAAGGAAGGAAAAATAAGAAGTCAGACAGTCGGGTCATTACAGACCATGATTCCATCTGAAAACAAAAGGCTGAGAAGCATAGATACATCCTGTGTTTATTTGATTCCTGGCTCTAGGAGAAAGTTTTATTTCACCAAGGACACTGAGTCAGCTCGCTTGTTTACCACAGAGTATTGGAAGTGTGTGAAGTGTGTTTGTCCCCCAATTAACCATTAGTTGTTTTTCTTCACTTGAACAAGATACAAACTTGATCCAATGGAGAAACATTGCAAGTTATATGTGGCAGGATGCCATAAAATATCTACATTGATATTTAAATAAAACACATGCCTACATTAAACAATGTTTGAAAAGAAACTGATGGGATTCAAGGCTGAATTATATTTACTGAATTCCTACAAGGTACATAAATATATGAAACATGGAGTCCCTTGTAGATCCATAATGAAAACCTATTTTTTTTAAACACAAGGGTCAATTCAAGTTGAAAAATAAATGTTTACAAGCTTTCTGCCTTTTTTAAAATTTCAAAGTAAAAATAATATTTAATTGCATTGAAATATATACATATATTTTAATAACTCTGATTACCTATTTGATTGCATAAAAGAATGACGAGAACATCAACACTGCTTTTAACCACAATATTTGAGAAGTAGCAGCTCAGAAGTGTTTTTTAAAATATTTTATCTTGAAATCAGATCTCATGTACGTAGGTGAACTGAATATGCCCACAGAGGATCTCAGGGGACTCTCCACTGCTGTAGATCCAAAAAGCAGAGGGCTAAATAGAAATCTCACATGCTGTCGTCCAGCAAAATAGAGATGGCTCTGCTGAGTTCTTAGATCATGTTTAGTTTCAGGAGGGGTTGAGCTGTAATGACAAAATTATCTGGTCACTCTAAACAAACAGTTAATTAATCTAGTCAAACAAACTTATCAGTCATGAAGGTGAAATTGTTCTTTCATCTAGAATTTGATCATAAGGGCTTCCAAGAAGGAAGCTTCTTGTGTCTCCCTTGTAAATCCTGTCTGTAGTATGCCTTTCTTTCCCACGACTGTTGAAAATTATTTATTCTTGAACCAGCTTCAGTGGTGAACAGCAGCTGGTTGCTACCTTCTCATACCCATTTTTTGGTCAACTGCAACATGGTTATTCAGCATAGCCTCGACTTCAAAAGGTGCCTGATTTACTCTGGGATTGGGAATGGAGAGAATAATTTTGAAGCTCTTTCTCTTTGCCTGTTTCCTTCCTTCCTTCCAGAACTTTGGGTTATTTTCTAGTGATCTTCAGTGTTAAAAGGTGTACTGAAAGCTCTTTTCTCCCAGGCTGATTTTCAGCCTGTCTACTGAGCTTTTTTGGGTTTGGTTTTATAGAAGGAAGTCCCCTTTTTTGGTTTTCCCCACATTCACGCTGAGGCTGTGAATGTCCACCAACTCAATTCTGAGCTACAGTTGAATAGTGTATTAAGAATACATGTGACTGCCACATGGGCCCTGGACTGCTGAATTCATGATCAAATCATTGTTTTCCCAACCATCATGCTTGGGGGCACCACATCAGTCTACAGTGAACATGGATTAATAAGTGCTGATTTAGACTAAATAGTTTTCTGATAAGTGGTACATTAAAGATTTCTCTTCCCTCTTTCTATGATTTGTATAGTAGCCACAATTTTCTATAACATTATTGCAGCCTCCCAGTACTACTTTAATGTAGAAATCTTGCACATTCCTACTTCTGGCTTTTGCTCAGACTACGACTCTATGGCAGTGGCAGAACCGTTTTAGGAATGTCTTCTGCTGTAATTTTCTCTTCCTCCCACCACTTCCACTTTAAACTTTTGGTATATTCCCTAATCAAAGAGGCATCTAAGTTGTCTTTAGTGAGAAACCATCTATCTATACAAAGCCATAACATGTGAATGAAAAGGACATACTGTCAACTCTCTTGTGCCAGACACCCAGATGTTGGCAAGTAGTACTTGGACCGAACAGCCTAGTCATTGAACAGCATCCTCTTCCCCTTTTAAAATTCATCCAGATGTTTTGGCATCATAAACACATAACCAGATTTCATCCCTGATTTTGTCAAAGGCTTAAAAAACGTGAAAAATATTATGTTTCTCCTGTGATGAACAGTTACCAATGAACTCTGTTCAAAAGGGAAAACAGATAATGTTTCATTTTAAAAGACCAGTAATATTGAATTAAGATAAAGTTCCCATGAGAGTATATTTTACATTCTCATGAATCGCGGATGAGTTTATTATGATCCATGCTTGTAGGAAAGACTGACAAATAAATTCATATTGATTTGACATTTAAAATAGCATGTCTAAAAATGTACAGCATCACATTAAGTGTCAAGTAATTATTCAACTATCAGCTTCAAATGTACATGGGAGAAAATGGGTCCAGAACCCAAAATGTAGTGAAAGATTTAAATGCTCACATTTCTACCACAGGTGTTTTGTTTCGTTTTGTTTTGTTTTGTTTTTTGAGACAAGGTCTCACTCTATCACCCAGTCTGTGTGCAATGGTGTAATCATGGCTCACCGCAGCCTCAAACTCCTGGGCTCAAGTGATCCTCCCACCTCAGCCTCCCAAGTAGTTAGAACTTACAGTCATGTGCCATCATGTCTGGTTAATTTATTTTATTTTTATTTTTGTAGAGACAAGGCCTTGCTTTGGTGTCCAGGTTGGTCTTGAACTCCTGGCCTCAAGCAGTCCTCTCACTTCGGCCTCCCAAAGGACTAGGATTATAGGCATGAGCCACTGTGCCCAGCCTTCTACCACAATTTTTAAAGAAGCCAATAGCATACATTAATACATTTACAAGGGCTCACGCAAGAGTGCCTTTTGAGCCTGTGTTTGACAGGAAATTTATATTCAGATCATTGTGCCCAGAGTATATAGAGGGGTTACAGCAAAGTGCTGTACTTTGGGTTACTGTAAAGTGACTCAATTGATGTACCAAGATATTGATCATTTACACCCTTTAGGCCTGAAAAATATATTTTTCTTTGTGTTCCATGAAATTAAAAAGGCAAGGAAGCATTAAAGAGACAGCAATAAAAAGACTTGATAGTATATATATGTGAGTTTGAGTGTTTGAGCTGGGGTTGTGAGTTTGTGGGTGGATTAGAAAGCATATGGCTAAAGACATGTGCAACAGATGCAAGGGCCTGGGCTTTAGCCTTCCCTCTGAAACTTCTTTATGGGGACATGTGCAGAAACAAGCCTTGCTTCCTGGATTAAGACCACATTTGCACAATTTGCACATTGTCCCTCTTCTTGGGCCTGCTTTCCACCAGAGATTGCATCTCCCATGAAAACAAGGCAAGAACTAAAGCACTTAAGAGAGCTGATTGTGAAGTCCAACTACATGGGTTCAAATCCTGGTACCGTCATTAATTAGCTGGGTCGTTTTGGACCAGTTAACTTCCAGGACCCTCACTTTCCTCATCTACACAAAGGGCTAATAACAGTATTTACCTCATAGTTGTTACGAGAAATTAATAAATTAAGGCATGTATAGTGCTTATCCCAGAGCCTGGCAGAGAGCAGAGCCTAGTTGATCATTATTATTATTGAGCAATTACTATGTACCAGGTGCTTTATTTTCATCTCTGATCCTCACAACAGCCCTACAAGGCAGATACTATTATCTTCAGTTTACAAGTGAGGAGGCTGAAGCTCAGTGAGATAAAGTACACTGCTCAAGGTCACACAACCAGGAAGAGCAGAAACCAGGCTCCAAGCCCCTCTGTCCCTCACTCCTAAGGCCTGTGCTATTTGCCATATCATCATCCCACTGGTGCTTCTAAAAGTTTCTTCTTCTAGAGTTCATCCCTCTTCTCTCTTCATCCGCCTCTTGGCCTACCCTGGCCTGAGAACTACTTGGCACAAACCTATACAGCAGGTCCTTGAATAATGTTGTTTTGTTCAAAGCACTTTAATTATAATGTTAATGGGGAAAATTTGGTTTTCCCCAGGGCCACTGTCCATGGACAGGATGGCGTCCTGTCCAGGGTGGTTCCCACCTTTCGTGCTCCTTGTGTTGCCAGGATGGGCTCTGGCCACCTGTGACCCTGAACTGGAATAAGTGGGTTAGAAAATAACTGAATGAGTGAATACAAATTATTGGAAAATGAAAACTTGTAAAGTACACAATGACCATACAAACCCATGATAATAAATGACACGATAGGAAAGCGCTCAGTGAGTCGCCACTTTTGTGATTCTTCTGGAACTACTGGGTGGCAGGAGGGGCTCCTTATGATTTTACTTTGCAAATGTTTATTCCTTGACCTGACCCGCCATCGCTACAACCGCTGTCACTCATTGATTCACCAAAAATTAGGAAAATAATTCTCCTACTTGTTCTTATTAATCTTTCCTAAATGTATGTGTAGCTTACACTTATTGTTAACGTTTAATTAACTTATTAATGTTTAATATTATAAGTGTTTGGGTGGTTTTTGTTTATTTGGTTTTTTTTGTTTGTTTTTGAGACAGGGTCTCACTCCTCTCACCCAGGCTGGAGTGTAGTGGCGCAATCACAGCTCACTGCAGCTGCAACTTCCCAGGATTCAGGTGATCCTCCCACCTCAGCCTCCTGAGTAGCTGGGACTACAGACATGTGCCACCATGCCTGGCTAAATTTTTGTATTTTTAGTAGAGACAGGGTTTCACCATGTTGCCCAGGCTGGTGTTTGGATCTTTATTTAGAAGTTTGGTGATATTTTTTGTGACCAGAAATAAGCTGTGGGTACTTAACTCTTGTTTACATCAATTAACCTACAGTAAAATTAGTTTTGTTATTCGTTGTTTCACTTAAAGTCCAGTTCCCAAGAACCTGTCAAGGACGTTCAGTGAGGACTTACTGTACTCAGAGACAGCAGAGAGCAAAGGGCAAGAAGGCCGGCTGAAGGACGAGGAGGCCTAGAGCCCCTTGCCGGCTTTTGCGCATGCATCTGCTCCTGGTGGATGACTCACTTAACTTCTCCGTGCTTCTGCCTTCTCAACTGGAAAATGGAATCTGTAAGTTGCCGCACTAGGGTTGCTTCTGTAACATTCTACTTGGCCTCCAGGAAGAGGAGGCCATCCCTCTATATGTCCAGCCAGCATATGGGGGACAGTGGGGCTGTGTGTGATTCAGCCGGTGGTGTGCCAGCCTCAGGCAGCCCTAGGCTTATACTCCCAGATCCTGAGCTAGCAGCTGGAGCTTTGGGATCTGGAACTGTTACAGGGCCAAAGAACCTGCTCAGTTGCAGGGCTGTTTCTAGATAACTGCCAGGGTGTGGGAAAAGCATTTGTCATGGAAGGTGGGGAGTGTGTGTAGGTTGTTTCAGGGGCTGCTTTGTGGGAAGCCAAACGTTTTGGCAATGGGCTCAGAACTGGCTTTCCTTTTTGGGTGTCCTCTAAATTTTGAGGGTGCCCCCAAACCAGAGGGTGTCCACTTCTGCTCTCCCTAGCCTAGTGGGGAGATGAATCTGATCTTTTGTCTCAAAGCCCACATTGAAGAGGACCATTGCATGCTTCATCACCGGGCTGTGATTCCGAGACCTCAACTCCTGTCTTTTCCCCTCTTCACCAGGGCAGAGGCTAGACTGTTTCCTCTCCTCTCCCTGAATAATAGCAGTGCCTAGATTTTGGAGGACATACCACCTACCTGGCACTGTGCTAAGTACTTTGCCTGCATTTCCTTGGTAATCCTCATGTCATCCTACAAGGGAAGTACCATTTTGTCATGATTTAACAGAAGAGGATACAAAAGCTCAGAGCCTGGAAGTGACTTGCTCAAAGTCACACTGATAGTAAGTGATAAAGCGGGGATTGAAACACAGGTCTAAATTTTGAGACAATCTT